ATTTGGGAGCAGACATCCTGTCGAGGCAGGGGCCGAGGCCCGGGGAATGGATGCTTCACCCCAGGGTGGTGAAGCAGATATGGAGAGTGTTTGGCCAGGCTCAGGTGGACCTGTTTGTGACTCAGAAGACATCGCACTGTCCCCTCTGGTTCTCTCTGACTCATTCAGCTCCTCTCGGTCTGGACGTTATGGTACAGACTTGGCCAAGGCTTCGTCTGTACGCTTTTCCCCCGATCGCTCTGCTCCCGGGAGTTCTGGAGAGAGTTCGCCGGGACAGGGTCTGTCAACTGCTAGTCGCCCTGTTCTGGCTGGGCTGAGTATAGTTCTCGGACCTGGTGTCCCTTCTCGACGGCTCTCCATGGGAGAAACCCATCAGGAGGAACCTTCTCTCTCTTGCGGGCGGCACCATAGTTCACCCCCGCCCGGAGCTGTGGAAGTTGTGAGTGTGGCCCCTGAGGGGGCACAACTCACAACTTCCGGTCTCTCAACCGAGGTCCAGAACCTCCAATCCAGAGCTCCCTCAATGAGGAAACTGTATACCTTGAAGTGGAAACTTTTCACTTGGTGCGGAGACCGCCAGCTTGACCTAGTTAACTGCCCAGTTGGAACAGTGCTGGAGTTCCTGCAGGCCCGATTCTCCACAGGGTTGACCCACGCCATTGCGGCCTACCACGCCCCTCTCGGTGGCCAGTCGGTGGGCAGACACCCCCTAGTTACACATTTCCTCCACGGTGCGTTGAGGCTGAGGCCTTTGGTACCAATCTCGCATACCCCCGTGGGGCCTGGCTGTGGTGCTACAGGCTCTCTGTAAACCTCCTTTCGAGCCTATAGAGGAGCTAGGAACTAGCGCTGGACGCATACGTCCACAGAGCTGCCCTGTGGAGAAGGGCGGACCAACTGCTAGTGTGCTATGGTCCTCACAAGAGAGGTCTTTCTGTTACTAGAAAGACCCTCAGCCGGTGGATAGTGGATGCCATTTGTCTTTCCTATGAGTCCTCTGATCTCCCCTCGCCCTTGGGGGTCAAGGCTCCCTCTACCAGAAGTGTGGCGTAGAGGTCTGCATTCCCGTGGCTCTCCCACAGGAACTGCAGGGCCCGACCAGATTTTTTGAATAAAACACGGTATCGGTCGGTAACTCTGGTGTAATTTGAACGGGAGCGGGCGGTCTAACAATATCCCGTTCCCGACGTCCATTCAGAACAGCATATCTGCGCTTTATTCTTATTGACCACCGGTAGCCTGCACTCGGACTGTTATGCACGTGCTTTCTGCATCACGCGTTTTATTTGCGGGGTCTGTGCGCAGCATGTGCATAACAATGTTTAGAGCAGGCTGTACCTGTGGTAAATATACGGCCCTCAGACAGAACAGGCAGGTTGTCGATGAGTGACAGAGCAGAATAAGGATGGAGCAAAGTGTGGATGCGCTGTTCTTGTAGGACGTTCAACTAGGTTTTGTTTATATTTTGCTTAGCCTATAATTTTAAATGACAGATGTCGTATTTATTCATTTTTCTCTGCGACTCTTTTCCTACTGTTAACAGAAAAAATGTCAAACGAATTTAGTATTTTGACAAGACGAATAAAAATAGCTAGTAGGCTATTTTTGTTCAACCTATATTTGTATTTTTTTTTCTCTGTGACACTTTTTCCTATTCACTGTAAACTCTAATTAGTTGGGCTTACTTAAAAAAAGCATGCAATCCGATTGCCTTGAAAAAACGAAGTAACGTGAAATAGGAATAGTATGTTGTATTGACAAATGCTTAGTTAGTATAGTTTACTTACACGAGAGTTCTAGTAACTAAAAAAGAACTGTAGGGGGTATTTAATCCTTTCATTTAGGTTTACTAATGACTTAGTATAGCTACTCACTGACTCCCAGAGTGCATTGCGGCATGAATAAATTATGCAGTTGCTTTGTTTTACAGTTGTTGATTTTATTTGCCAATTTTATTTGCTGTCTTGTGTCAGTAGTAGCACAACAAAAAGAGCAAATAAAATGGTTATTGTTACAATTAGTGAAAATAAATTAAATTGAATTGTTACCATTGTTGTGATTCCCGTGCTGAATGTTTAAGTCTGGGTGTGAGTTTAACATATTACCACACATTATTTAAGGATTATATAAACCCAATTAAAAGCATCTCAATGTATTTATGAAATCTGAAAAAGTTCATTAATAAACACAAAAAAAATATATACACTATTGCTTTAATTAGAACATAGATCACCTGCTAAAAGCAACCTATTTATTACTTTTCTTCCCTTGACAATATCATGCATATTCATTACCGTGATATATCGCATTACCGAATACCGGCACAAGTCTAGTCATTGGTTCTTTTGTGGCTACTTGAATATTTTAAGTACGTGTCACTCAAAACAGTAAGTAAATAATTTTATTTGCCTCGAAAGTAGCTGTAACTTAATAAAACCTAGTAAGTATAACAACTAAGTAAAGATAACTAATTAAATCTAAGTAAGGCAAACTATTGGATTTTACAGTGTTGTGTTGTAAATGTTAAACGGATTGTATCCTGACAAGATGAATAAAAATAAGAAACACAATTTTTATACAACATTTTTATTTCCTCTGACACTTTTTTTCCTATACTGCATTGCATAAAATATTAAACTAATTTCGTGTTTTAAGATAATTCATATAAATTCAAGTCAAAGTCAATAAATCCAAGACTCTTGACAAGACAAATAAAATAACATGCAATTTTGTGCAGACTACACTTTTATTTGTTAGCCTATCTCTCTTTTTTTCAGTAGCGGAAATTTAAATGTGAGATTCTGGAAACGAGATCTAAATTTAGCGGGAATGATCGGGTCGGGAAGAAAATTATTCTAAGCGGACAGCGAGTGAACAAAGAGTGAATATATAGCAGGAGCGGGTGGGTACGGAATAAAACCTTGCGGGAGCGGGACTAAAAAAATAGTCCCGCGCAGACCTCTAGTGTGGCGGCCTCCAAGGCCTTTCTGGCAGGTGTTTCTATGCAGGACATCTGCAACGCTGCGCCTATCGTTCATCAGGTTCTATGGCCTCGATATGCGAGCCACTCCGGCCTCTTCTGTTCTCTCGCCCTAGCTGTGCTCTTTCACACTAGGCAGGGATTTGTAAGTCTTGCGGCGTGGGCACACTTGTTCCCATAGCATTTCGACGCAGCTCGAGTTCCTGAAGGGGAACGTCTCTAGGTTATGCATGTTACCCTGCTTCCCCGAAGGAACGAGATGCTGCGTCTCAGTGCCATACTTCCGGCATCCCTGTGAGCGCTTGCTTCATTCCCAAGAAGCTGCCGCTGTATCCACCGCACGTGCTTTTAAGCTTCCTGGTCGCTACGTCACCCCGAAACTTTTCAATGCCAGGGAAATAGTCCTATCTAGGAAAGCATTAATCTCTTCAACCGTACATAGGTCTTTATCAGCCTCTCCTAGTACATCTGACCACTGCTCACTATCTTTCATACCATCATCAGTAAACTGTGACAGATCTAGCTCAGATTCTAGCTCATCAGCAATGTTCTCCTCTGATCCTCCTGCCTGAGCTTCATCATTCATCCCCACTGAACCTCCTGTCTTTTCCCCATCATTCTTCTCAATCACTTCTTCAGCAGCAGTCTGAAAAACCACCTTATCAGTACCAGCAGTGACATTCACATATCCAGCATTGACACAATTGTCACTCACCTCCTCTTGTCCTTTCGCCTCTGTTACTCCTTCATCTTGCACCTTGCTTCTCTGCTCTGCTGCTTCATAATTTCTGTGATGCTCAACAGTAACTCCAGTATGAACTCGAGATGCGGACACGCAAAACGTTTGTGGCCCAAATCGCCACACTCAAAACACTTTAAACTCTCAGTGCTCGCATAAATCATGTACTAGTTTTCTCCTTGATTCACATGGAAGGAAACTTCCAGAGTCCGCGTGGGTGAAGTGAGAAACATATAGACTTGACGTCTAAAAAAAGAGTACATGTTTAAGTGCCGTATTTTTACACTTGAGGGGAATCATTTTTACAGGGCTGGCTATCTTACCAAACCTTTGCAATTCTTTTGTAATCGCCTCATTCGACACAAACGACGGAACATTAGATATCATTATTTTTGTTGCTGGAGTGGATAACAGAGTAACAGCAACAAACATTTCTTTAACCCATATCCCACTGAGAATCAACTGATTTATCAGCAATTCCGACTTTAAAAACACCACAATTGCTTTGTTCATATGTGATGCAGACACTATATTATCAAAACCAACCTGCTCTCCGACAACTAGGAGCAGATCTTCCACAATCACTCCAGGATCAGTCACACCTGCAGCCATGCCGTAGAGACAGGGCTAGTGACCCGGGAGCAGACTCCATACTGGCGTTTGGCACCCTAACGCACACGGTTAACAAACCGCCATTTCTCCCTTCTTTATCCTCCAAAATAAGAAAGAAAAAAACGAGAGAGAAAAAACAAAGAAAAAAAATAGGAAAAAAGAACAAAGTAGAGCGAAAACAAACACACTCGCTCCCAGGACGTGCTCAGCTCATCCACACACTCCCAGCATCCACCAGAGAGAGAGAGAGAGTGAGAGAGCACTTTCAACAGCATGCTGAAACACAGATAAGGACAGAATTTACTATAGATTTCACATTCTATAAAGTTCTTATAATGCTTATGGCATTAATGTTTATGGCAGATTTGTGCTATATTTTCATCTACATTATCAAGTGATTCTTGAAATCGCCTGCATGTTTTCGAAGCCATACGAAGTAACAATTTTAATTGAAGTATGCCTACTGTTGAACAAATATGATGAATAAAAGCACTCCTGCATTATTATAACATCAGTATTTTAAAAAAAGAAACATCTAAAAGCAATACGACAATCTCAAATAACATTTGAGCATGAAACACTGGTAATATACAGTGCATTCAGCATGTTAATAAATGTTAATATCCCAACACATCCTATATTAGATTATTCAGATATGTATGTAGCTAACCCAGACATCACTACGTGACTTCGAAGCCATGCTTCTCTCTCTTCTCACGTGTTTGGACCGCACGCAGGGTGCCGCCCAAAGTGCTGCTATAACAAATTAGAACATTTTTTTTTCCATGATCATCATTTTCATGATCGATCGTCGCTGTCACGGCCGAGTACTCGAGTACTCAATCGCTGTTGCACATCCTTACTACATGTCTTGGGTCGCTAGTGACCCTATACACTGTTTTACTAAAAAATTTTCAGAAAACAGACATTCTTTTATTGTTTAGTACTTTTCTCATGTTATATTGTTTATGATGAGTAGATTGAGGAATACTAAGAAAGTTGAAGTCTAACATTAAAAAATGAAGGAGGGAGAGGGTAGTAAATTACATCCTGGGTTATTTAAGGGTAAAATAATTAACAAATTAACAAAACAAAAGGAGCAACAAAAGACTGTTTTGTTTCATTTTTATAGCTGCACCACAAGTTTAAGTTAAATATATTTCTGTTGCAGTTTCTTCAAGTTAACCCAAAGTTTTATTTTGACGAGTTGCTGTGAAGACCAAGTTTTTTTTGTAGCATGTATGATATGACGATTGTTTTTTCTCAAAAGAAATTGTAAAATGCTGATGAAGTGACTCTCAGAGCAGTTCAAGAGATTATGTTTATGTGTTTATGTACTCATATATTGAGGCTGAAAACACCACAAATATTGCTTGTGCTTCAGCATGTGTGTAGTAAATGAAACCACATGTCTGTGCCATGCATTCACACAGAGACACGCAGAACATGCAGGATTCATATTTAAATAGTATTTTTGTGGTTCAAACTTAAAATTGGTGATATGACCACACATAATTGAATACTTAACCATTTTACTAACCCTGTGATGGCGAGGGGCCCATGGAATACTTGGTAACTACATTTAGGTTCAAAAAACTGTTTATGAAAATTGTAGGCATTGTTTATGAAAATTGGCCACTGAAGTTTTTATGAAACTGTATTTCTCTGCCAAATTTATAAGTGGGATATTGAATTATTTATAAGTAGGATGTTGAGTACTATTAGACAATTTCTGTAAGGTCAGTTGCAATCTTTTTTTAATTCTGCAATTTGTTCTGAAAATGTTAAATAATTTAAAAAACTGTATCTTTTTATAAAACTTTTAAGTCATCCATCCATCCATTCTATTATCCAAACCTACATGTCTTATTAGGGTAATGGGGAGCTGTATCCTAACCCAGCATCTTGAGCCACAGGTGAGGAAACTCCCTGGATGAATGGGCAGTCCATCACAAGGCTCACACATAGATTTTAAGAAGTCATTTTTATTGAATTTCTCTTCCTTTGATATAGCATGAGATGAAAATGTTCAGTTTTTCTTAAGCAAAATCAGTGGTACAGGTTTACTGTACTCCATGTGGCTCAAATTATTCCTTACTGGAGGAAAGTTGAGCCAAGGGACCACTTTTTTTTTTTTTTTTGGAAAGCCATATTTTGAAAGTAGTTTATTTTAGACCCAAAGTGATTATTCACAAGGATGCACCACATCCTGAAATGTATGTACACATTTAAGTTGGACCCATTACTGTCATGTGCTCGCTTTAAACATGGCATAAGTAAAAACCACTCTCCCTTAATAGCTTCTAACTTACACACCCCTCAAACGTTGAAGATACTCCAAACTCTTCGTCAACACTGGTATTGCAGTCAGTCATGACCATCGAGAGAAGTTTATTTGGATATTCATGCAAGAGAGAGAATCAAAGATTTTAGTGAAATAGTTGATGAAGAAAGTTATTATACAGAAAGACTAGTGTTTACAGTTTAAAATATTGGCTGACATTTTCACTGTTCAGTGTAACAACTACGTTTCCTCTCATGAACAAAAATCTCTCAATGCAGTGTGGACATATTTTTCTTTTTCTTAATACAAGTTCATATGTTTGCATAAACTTGTGCATATATTGTCATGGTGTAATACTGTTTTATTTAGTTTTAAAAGTTCTTCTCGTGATATTGTTTTATTTTCTTTAGATATAGTGTAAATCATTGCTTAATTTGTACATGAACAATTGCAAAATGGAAAACAATGATTTGGCAATGTTTTCATGAAATAATTATACAAATTACAGTAGCTTTTCTGGACACACAATGACATCTCTAAAGAGACATCTCTCAGTCAATAGAGGAGGTGTATTAGCCTAAAAAACATCATAGTATCAAGTTTACTTATTCACAGAAAGTGCGACCTCACCTTGACATTGTAAATAAAATCATGATGAGTGTAAATAGCTTGGATTTTTGACTCTTGTGCAAGCGTGAGCAAAGCATGGTTGGCGCAGAGTAGGGGAGTTGCAGACAGGTGATTGGAGGTTTTAGCTGCTTTCTTTCAAAGCAGATATCTAACAGATGACTCATTTGCAAGATTTCAGTCACAATGCAAATGATACTGCAGTCAATCTTCTGCTGCTGCCTGCTGGCCACCATTGCACCCGGTGTTGATGGTGCAAAACATGAGCTGGAAAGAAGGTAAGCTGTGTTGATTTAGACCTAGAGATGGCCTCTATAGCCCTGAATATCAGCGGAGATCAGGACAACTAGATGAGCCTCAGAGACAGATCCCCAGTGAAGACCTTGTCTCCTAGACAGCCATTGGGACAAGACCACTGGAACCAAATGAGTCCTCTGCACAGTCTGACTTTGCTGCAGCATGAAACAACCTGCTGGTTCATCTGGCCAGAGGAGAACTGGCCCCCCAACTGTGCCTGGTTTCTCCCAAGGTTTTTTATTCATTCTGTCACCGATAGAGTTTTGGTTCCTTGCTGCTGTCGCCTCTGGCTTGCTTAGTTGGGGACACTTAATTTCCAGCGATATCGTCGACTTGATTGCACAGATGCTATTAAATTGAACCGAGCTGGGTGATGACATCACTGAATTCAATGATGAACTGCCTTTAACTGAAAACTGAGTGTCCTTTTGCATTATTGACACACTATTTTCCTGTTTATTATTGTAAAGCTGCTTTGACACAATCTGTATTGTTAAAAGCGCTATATAAATAAAGGGGACTTGACTTGACTTCAGGTCTTTACTCATGTTTGAAATTGGTTGAAAAGTTTCTAAAGAACACGTTTTCTCTTCTTGACACTTAGTGTCCGGTTGCAGAGATCAAAAAGGGATTTGAGCCTTGCTGCACTAACAACTTTAGACAACAGCCAGTTTGTCAGACCGGACGATGTCAAAGACAACTTAAGGCCACATCCCAGGTAAGAATTGTGTCATTAAATTATGTAATTGTTTTCTCCAAGTTAAGTGTTGTTTCGCATGATGAAGCTGAAGTACAAACTTGTCAAGCAAGGCACATTAAACTAAGGTTGTAAGCCTAAAGCAATTGTTCAGGAACTCAGGGAAGGCATTAATGTCCTCCTCCCTCGTCTGCCTATGCAGCACTGACATCAGCATCAGGACAAAACGCTCCCAGAACTCGATCAACCAGTTCAAGAGAGCGGGCTGCTTGCTTGGCAACTGCATGGTGCATGATCTGGCACACCGTTTCCATGGCCTCATCAAGCTCAAGATCGAAAATGCCCACTGAGAAGATCAATCCCTTCATGTACGGCCGGCTGCGAAGGTCTATTCCAGAGAAAGTGTTTCTGATCCCTACCAGAAGGTGGCACCAGGAAAGCTATCCTGGGCCCTAAAAAAGCCAGACATTGCTGAAACATTTACATTTGTTAATTTAGCAAATGGCTAAAGTAAAAGAAGAAGATGTAGGTATGATACAGTAAATGACCATTAAATAGTTTGTTTTGCTTGAGAAAAGCTGACAATTTTAATATAAAGAGAGCTATAAACATGGGTCCTGTGATTCCTATCTGCATCCCCGTCATAGCATGTCCTTAGCGTTATTATCTCATGCTCATCTCATGGAAATGTGTGATTTGCACTGAAGCTTGCATCTCACTGTGTTCTCACAGTGGTCTTACAAGCTCAAACAAGCAATAAGACATGTCAGCAAATATACATATACAGTGCAAAGCATAAATGAGTACACCCCCTCTGAGACTTAACAAATTCAGCAATTACTCTTTATTTAGAAAACATGTTAGGGCTCTTTAGAGATATAATGTTCCAGCAAGTCTGCTTCATCAATTACAAAAGAAGCATGTCAAAATGATTTAGGAAAACAAGATTTTTTTAACAAAGTGATAAAATGTTGTGTTGCAAAAAATGAGTACACCGTCCTGATTTGAAGGGAATTTGAGTGACTTTTTAATTAGGTACTGATGGAGTTAAGGACACCCTGTTTTATAAAAACCCACTGTTTTCAACATCATTGTCCTTCACTGTAAAAACTCCAATTAATAAGATGTTGGAAGGGCAAAAATATTTTAGTTGAACTAATTTTCTTGCTTGGGTTTATTTGAGAAGACATATTATATTAATTCTGAAAAAATATATTTTAAAAAACGTTAAATGAAGGGTTATTTTCAAATCCAGTCAACGTTCAGAATGCTAATGTTGACTGAACTAATAAACACAAATCCAGTCAATATTTGAAAAAAGTATCAAGGCCATATATGCTAAACACATACAATATTTTATTACATAGAAAATAACATAATTGTGGTTTGTGCTTTCAAAATGAGTAGATATTTGATATTATATAAAAACAGCATTTATTAAATAAGATGTATTTTGGATGGTCAATTTATCATAGTTTACACAACTATACATAACCTTTATTTATGTATTTATTTATTTGGTCACACTTTATTTTAAGGTCCAATTCTCGCTATTAACAAACCATTAACAACGACTTTTGCCTTAATAAACTCCTAATTTGCTGCTTATTAACGGTTAGTAAGATAGATGTTAAATTTAGGTATTGGGTAGGATTAGGGATATAGAATATGGTCATGCAGAATATGTGCTTTATAAATACTAATAAACAGCCAATTTGTTAATAATAGGCATGCTAATAAACAACTACTTAATAGTGAGAATTGGTCCCTATAATAAAGTGTTACCATTTTTTTTAAATCTTGGAATTTAGCTGTCTTATTTTTGTAATAAATGCATAAAAAGGGCAACACTACATTTAAATATATATATATATATATATATATTTAATTCCATAAATTTATGTTCAGAAGCATCTGGAGTACAGCACACTTGAGATCATCCCACAAATGCGCCACCCTGAGTGACTGTGGGTTTCATGAGACAGAGACAGCAGCCGCCATTTTATCAAGTTCACACATCAAGTAAATGCCACTGAATAAATATTTGTATTAAAGGCAGGGTAGGTGATTAGGTTCAAAAAAATTTTTTGTTATGCTGGTTGATAAGGTCTTTACATCCCGATAGCAATCACTAAGTTAAGTGGTCTAATTTTATTTATGTATATATATCGTCTGTGGAAGGAAACTGTTGAATGTTAGTCCAATCAAAATGTTTGGTCCAACCATTACGATAGGCTGTCCTGCCTGCCAGTCAAATATGTATTTGCCTACCTCTGTGCACCCTGTTTGTGCAGACATGATGCGTCATCAGCGTGTTCCAGCGAGAAAGGCGCTATTATTGTAATATAATGCGCTTTGTACTGTAATATTTTTTTCACCGGTGAATGAGGGTGAATGAGACATGAGGTAAACTGACAGTTTTGCGTTCAATCCTCCACCAACGGAGTCTTTTGTCATGGCGCAGGTTAGTCTCTGCTCTGACGCCCATCTTCACACAGATCTTCAACAGATCACTGGAGCTGTGTGAAGTTCTCTGTTGCTTCAAATGCTCCACCATCATTCCGGTCCCCAAAAAGCCTAAAATCACTGGACTTAATGATTACAGACCTGTTGCTCTCACATCTGTGGTCATGAACGCATTCATGTGTTTTGGAGGAGGCGTGGCTTTGCAGAGTGATTATGCAGGGAGGGTGGAGATCTTGCTTTCAAAGTTAGCTTGCTATCGCTAGCCTTTCCGAAATAGCCTACCCTACCTTTAAGACAAATTTTTTAAAAATCTATTTAAATTTTACGTTTAGGCTAAATTTATCAAAACGTATATATTAAAAAGGTTAAAAGTTTCATTCAAAACACACACACACATATATATATATATATAT